GACCGGGCTATGCATGCGGAATAGGAGCGGAAATCATCAGTACAGCCTCCTACCAGCCATATTCTGAACAGTCATGCACTTAAGTTATAAGACGGATATGCGAAAGAAAAATTAGTGAGAGAGCAAACAGAATGAGGGAGGAGTTAACCCGTGATACGGACAATTAATATGTGTAACTATGAGGACACGTTTTTTATGAGAATAGAGTGCTGACTAGGCGTTTAATTTCTGAATCATCATGTTAGATAAAGCTTCTTCCATCGCTTATATGAAATTCAATAAAAATGCAATAAAGTTTTGAAAACAATGATTTACCACAGCGTTATTATGCAAAGCTTGCTCGACGACAGAGAGTTGACAAAGCAGCACTGAATTGTAGGGATTCAGTGCAACAGCTCGACTCAGATGCACACGTGCCAGATTCACTTGCTCCTTCTTGAAATGCAACAGGCCCAAGCCAAACCATGCTCGATAATCCGTTGGTGAGAGTGTCAGGGCTCGCCTGCAGACATCGTAAGAATAAAATTAAGAAAAAAATAATAAACATTTATTATGTTTTAATAATAATCATTAAAAATCATGATAAATGACAATCATAATAATCATTAAAACATAATAACCATCAATTAAGACAAAACATAATGACATAATAATCATTTATAAAATTAATATTACAATTTTTAAAACGCCACAAGAACATTTTGTGAAGTTATGAAAAAGGTTGTAACTACAAGGAAAAGTAATAAATTAAAAGGAAGTAAAAAATGAATTAGAATATTCCAATTTTTGTGGCCCATAACATTTACATGCTAATTACCAAAGATTCTATTAAAGGTTTTAAGACTTGCGAGAAAAATAAAGGTGTACGAATCGCGGCATATTGCCACCGACTTGATTCCAAACAAATCTCAAAAGAAAAAGCCATCGACAGCCTTTTTAGCAGGCAGTTGCTGCTGGCAAAAGCTTCCACTCAAGCCACTTTTAAGCGCATCTTTCTCCTCACACAGAGTGAAAGAAACGGAAGGTATTTTTCTGCCTGTGTTTTATCCCTTAACTCTAAACACAAACAGCCAAGTTTGGATGAATTTGGGAGCTATTAATTTCACTCGCCGACAAGTGCCACTTCAATTTATCATCCAAAAACAGTGGACAAGTCACAGAAAATTCGAATTTTCCCAACTGCTGGAATCAAACTTTTAAAAGAAAATACAGCATCTGCCACAGCAACAGGACTAACAACGTCACCTTAGGTATGCTAAAATTTCTAAACTCTTTTTTTCCAACTAACACTCTTTAAAAACACAATCACAGCACTCCCTTCTTTCATTTTCACCTTTCTTCTCATTAAAGCTGTCATACTAACGAGGTCCAGTCGTAGTGCTGAGTTAAGGCGTATATGACTTAATGGAAATGAAACGTCTTATCTCATTCTTGCTTGCTCTCTTATATTAATCTTTCTTCCTGAATTTCTTTACACCTTCGCCGTCTGCACTTCCAGGTTCAGCCCGGATGCTGCAATTTGCTTGACGATTAAAAGAAGCTGAATTCTTGCCTAAATGCAGCGGCGGCTTTTTCGAACTGATCCATATCCAGTAGTTCATGTCCAAGCAATGTATAACCGTATGGGTAATGATGTTCGAGTGCAAGTGCACGTTCAAAACACGTTATTGCCATTTCGTGCTGTTTTTGGGCGCTGAAACAATTGCCAGCCACACACCACGATTCGGGACTCATGCGGCACTCTTCCGTCATGTGACTGGCAAGCATCGATAAGCGTCGAGAATCTTGCGCATGCCATAGTGCTGTTGAAAAAATCTGCAAGAACGAGACATTTCAAAACAAAAGTACACAAAAATAAGGGTCTCCAAGGCCAGGTTTGAACAAAAACAAATGCAGAGTCAATCCCTCCATTCCATATCCTTTCTTCCCCTCTTTCGCTGATAATCGTCAATCGAAACTCTTCCATTCCGCCTTCAAATAACCGTATATACCCCACAAAAAATCCCCGAACCATCACTGGTTTTAGTTCGGCCCTTCATTCAAACTTCGGCTCTTTGTCGTCACTAACAATGCCTTTCGACTGTGCAATCCCGTTCGTTAACTTCTACTTCTACTAACTACTGTTGCTGGAGTCAATTAACGGTGGCACTTACTAATCGTCTTCACGCTACTCCCGGCCTTCCTATATTCACGTCGACCCTACCAATGGGGCCTCGAGCAGCGAATCTTTGGACGACCTTCCCGGTGATAACTGCTAATCAATGGAACTGCATGTATCGACGCATTCTTTTGCTTTGGCAGTTGTAAAGATAAATCTCAATCTTCTGCCGTGTCTTCCTCAAGTGCAAGCACTTTTGAACTTAGCACATTCAAATAATTTAAAAAAAGAAACAATCGAAATGACCCATTGATTTTAATGGCGATCATCTCAGCTTTGGTTTACTGCGTGCAATTTCGTTTAGAACTAAGCCGGAGCGTACAAAGGGCGTTTTTTCCTGCTTCTTTCTGTCGTCTTTCCCTTTTTACATTAAGCAATGCGACTGTCATACTGACGAGGTCCTTCGGCGGTATTTAACTAAGGATTATCTCATTCTTATCTCCTTCTCTTCTACTGTTCTCTCATGCTGTAATCTATCGCACCTTCGCCATTTTGGCTTCCACTATCAACATGGTTGCTGCAATCTGCTTAACGTTCACTGAATAAGAAACAGTCCATTTACTATTTCTCATTTTTGTCATATGACCAGATAGTCAAGGACGAAAAAAGCAGTCGCAAACCTCCATTCCCGAAACGCGATGTGGAAA